AGAAGGTCTACAAGTTACAAGACTAGTAAGTACTGTTCAAAAAATATTTAGAATTAAGAACTGCAATCTAATATAACAAATCAAGGATTGCTACAAGGCAAAATGCATTAGTCTTAATCTAACAAAAATCAAAAGATACAGTAATAACTCCTAGAATAATAAAGTAGGTATATTAGCAAAAGAAGGTCTGAGTTTGAACATATCTATTATAGTTAAAGATATGAATACAGATAATCTAAAAATCTTTTCTAAATAGGAGGATAAACTCATAAACTGCTTAATCAGATCTTTTTAAACATCATAATAGCAATAATATATAAAACTGAATGAGCAGAACTTAGTAGCTCAAAAGATGTAATATATATCAGGTCAGGAAATAATAGTGATGAAGACATTAACTAGAAAAGCTTATAGAGTATACTCAAAAATTACTAGACAAAAAATGTATAAGCTTTAAAAGAAGCAAAATACTAGTGTTTAGAGTAAAATATTTAAACAAGCTACTACCAATATATGATATTTGCTTTTAAAGAAAACCAGATCTCTACAAAAGAGAAACATATATAGCATACTGTATAACTAAAGAAATATTTAGTTATTTAGCAGAATACATTGTTTATCAAGAAATTTAGAACTATATAGAAATGATAATTATAGAAGAAGTCAGATACAAGATCTTAGAAAAGTAGAATTTGTTAATAACAAATAAAGATCTAGTTAAGATCTTTTTGGAAGTTGTATCAGAAGAAAAGGTTCTAAAAAGAAAGTTGTATCTCTGTAGTCTAACTAACAAGAAATATATCAAAGAAGTAATAAAACTTTTGGTATATGGATCTAAAGCAAATTAAGTAGTAATCTGGTTTATTGACTTTTTTTGGTCGAACTTCTATAAAAGACTGTAGAAATTCTGCTATGAAGTTATGACGAATTAGGAAAAAAAAAAAGATATTAATCTCTGAATAAAAAAGAGAAAACAAAGTAAGAAGAAAAGAAGAAGAGTAGCAAATAAAAAAAATATCTTGAACATAAATTCTCAAAAGAAAAAAACATGATCTAATAAAAAAAAAAATACTTATAACAACAAATAACAAAGTAAAAAATTGGATCCAAAAAGAAGAGTATGAGGAATGGTTAAAATTTAAAAACAAATAACTAGGCTTTCTTAATATAGCTAGTAGTAGTCTTCATTAATTAGAACTAAGATTATATACTCTAATATACATATAGTTCTAGGAAGAAAATTTGCTGCTATAGCAGATTGCATTTAAGTATCAAGTAGGTAGCTGAGTAAGTCTAGAATTGCAAAAAAGAGAGCAGTCTTAAAATTAATTAATCTTAATTTTCTGTATTTGTCATAGTACATATTTAGTATATCTTTTAATAAAATAAAAGACAAGATTGCCTAAGTAAAAAAAAAAAAAAAAATTTAGTAAATTATTAATATAAAGATTTTATCAGTTTTGATTCAATTTAGTTTTTAAAACTTTTGAAAGATTTTTTTAATTATTATAGCATTAACTTAAGTTATTTTTTAGGGTTTTTAATTATAATTAGAATATTAGATATATTATTAAAAAAAAACAAAAAAATAATAAAAATTAAAAAATCTTATATATGTAATTTTTTCTAACTTATAAACATATTAATCAACTAATTAAGTTTGGAAATACAGCTTATAACATCATTTTAAGATAAAAAATATATTTAGAAATAATAATAATATATGTATATTAATTTTTTTTTTCTAATTTAAAAGTTATTAAGTTATTATAAATAAAAATCTTGATTTTTGACAAAAACTCAGAAAATGATAAAAATTTATTATATGAACAGAAATTTTTAGTTAGAATGCAAAATTTGCAAAATTAGATGATAAAAAGTAATACTCATAAATAGCTTAGCTCAAATAATCTAACAATGATCTAGTTTAAATTAGTTTTGAAGTATTCTAGCTAATTAGTTCAGAGCACTACTCATAAATGAGATATAAAATCTCAAGTGATTCATAAACAATTTTTACGATCACGAATCAAAACATCAGTAATTACACAATATTTTATAACTATTGGCTTAGATTCTATTTAACCTCATTGTTTTAATTTAAATAATCGCGAAATGAAATATTTTCCTCCCATATCAGTTTGGTGCTAGGTAAAGGGACCAAATTTAAAAAAATAATCATTACAAAAAAATCGATTATCTCACGAACTATGATCAAAATTGCATGATTCAGTTCATCTTGTCGAGTCGAGTCGAATGGTGTCAAAATAATGTGATTCTGATCAATAGATCACGAGATAGTCGATTTTTTGTAACAATTATTTTTTTGTCAATTTGGTCTCTTTTCTAGCACCAAACCCAATATCGATATGATTTTTAATTTTTTTTTTAATTTTTTCTTTTAGTTACTCAAGATCCTGCGATCTGATTGGCTTTACATATAAGGAGGTGATATCACCTAGGTGAAAATTAGCAATAGTCAATTAAATATTGACGAATATCTGAGTATTAAATTTTTGTGAATTTTTTGAATTCACTTTTTCATCGAAAGCAAAAATTTCTAATGTGTTTGGAACGGTTTTATTTTTCTTACGTTAAATCGGTTTAATATAAGAAAAAAAAAAAAGATCCCAAACTAGTGTGGCGGGTGATCTAGGAAAAATTGACCAAAATTTGCTACGTAAAATTTGGAAAATCTTAAATTAGCCAAAAATTTTCTGTACAACATATATATTGAAACTATAAAAACTTATTGTTACGTATCGAACTGGATACGTAGTTAATTATTCGGTTAATTTTTAACTTAACCCGAATTCCTCTATCAGATATCGATCTATTATGATTACTAATATTAAAATAAAAATAAAAATTTATTTCTCTGGAAAACTTCTTTTAAAGGAATTTGCTTAAACTTTACGAAAGTTACAAAAATTCGCCAAATGGTTGAGGGATATCTCCCAAAAGTGTATTCAGTGCAAGGAGGACTTCATTGATGTAATTGGTTTATTAAAATGAATATTGATGATAATAAACATTAGCCATAAACGTTGTACGATCTAAAAAATACAGCTTATAATTAAATTAACCAATCAGTATAGGTCATAATCTAAAGCAAAAAACGAGTTACCAACAACCTCGTGTTAAATGTATCATCGCGCTAATCGTCAAATATGGGCAAAAAACAATCCGAAAAATTATTTTCCAAATCAATCCAATTCATTCGCCATCTTTTTCGAACGATTCTGATGATAACCAAATCTTTAAAAGATAATGCGTATATTGTTTTTTTTTCAGATAATAGTGGATTGTTTCTTATTTCATAAGGAATTCTAAAGAATCTCTGAGTCAAGTTGTATGTATGGGTTAGATTTTCATCGTCTTAATTTTCCGATGCACCTAAAAAATAAATTCTGTACATTCAAATTATCATCGTTGTCACCTATGATAATCATTGTCCCCTTCTAATAACAAACCGGTTTGTTTAACGTTAAAGCATTTTTTGGTGAAAAAAACAATATGTTTCAACTTACAGCCGAAGTAAAAATTACATGTAAAAACCTAAATTGATAATTAACGCCGATGAACAATTTACTAGGCATATATTATTGACTATATATTTAGAATTTCATATGTACAGTACGTAAGATACATATGATATCTAAATCCCTACAAATATAAATTTGGACATCTATACTATTTGTGTTCATGATGTGATAATGCAAACAAGAATTTTTTTTTTATAAAGTTTTGTAAATACCAAAATTCAATTTATATTACTGCGACGAAAAAGGTTTCTAGTTTGAATTAACAATTCCGATTATAGCGATAGTAAAAAGTGGAGACTATAGTTATACCATGTGACTAATTGATGACATCTTCCCAATAAAAAAACTTTGGTATGTGAATAATTATATGCAGTTTGTCAAATGTCTTGCATATTAGTAATTGTCGCATCCATTTATTATATTATTTATTACATCGAGTAATAAATTATATAATAAAAGAAGGTGACAATTACCAATATGCAAGACACTTGACAACACTGATTATATGTATTGGTCAGGTTTATAATATTTCGTCAATATTGAATTTTTATTGTTATCGTTAAATCAAATAATTAAATGAAAATGAGATATTGAGGGCATATGAGAGAAAATTTGAGATATTACATAATTAATTTAATCCACATTTAATTTAGATATCATTAAAGCAGTAAAATATTTTACCCGCCCTATTTCCATTCATATTACTAAAAGATGAAAAGTTTTTTGGGCTCTCTCTCTTTTCTTTTCCAGATAGTAGTTTCTGGGGGTACCATCGAGGAAGTTGTTTCGATTTCTTTTTAACTTCGCTATTACACCGTATAAAAAAATTATCAATCATATTGTATATGGATATCGACTGCAATAAAATCTTGAAGATTCACCACTCTAAACCAAGGTTGTGGAGTCTGCGGACCGCAACAAAATTTTAAATTTCTGCAACCAAAATCTGAATCGATGTTGTATAAAAAATAGTCAATATCCATATGTAAAATTTTCATTTTTAACTAGTGCTAAAAGGAAGATTAAAACATTTTTTTCTTGTATTTTCACTTTTTGTCTACTTTTCTTTAGGGATTGGAGCCGCCTAAATTTTCTTAACGTCTTAACCGTACAGTAGCGATCATATGTTTTGCATCACCCGAATTGAAGAAACAAAAAAAGCCATATCTCGTGACCTACACATGATAATTGCATCAAAATTAAAAAATTAGAAAGTATAAGGTTAATATGTCATAGATAGCCATTTATATATGCGATGTTACGTCAATTCCAGTTTTTATGTTTACTTGAATCTAAAACTAGCGATGCAAATCATTTGCACGTTTACGTAATAAAAATAGTCACATAAGCTGCCCCCAAAATTTTTTTTAAAAATAAAAAAATTTTACTAGCGAAAGTAATTTATTTGTTTTCGCACTTTATGTTGTTTTGGTCCCCCCTTTTATAAATATAATTATGGTTCGTATTTCTGTTGAAAAACAAGCACGAATTTATGGTCTTGCCCAAGAAGGTTTTCCTTCCCATTACATTGCCAAAAAAGAAAATGTTTCTCAGTCTTCAGTAGTTAGAATATGCAATAAAGCAGAAGAAACTGGAACTGTAAATGATTTACCAAAATCAGGGCACTCACGAACTTTAACAGAGTGAGATGAACGGAGGATCATACGTTTGCTTGCACCTGGTGAATGTTCTAATGCAGTACAAATCCAAAAACAAATAAAAATTCATGAAAAAATTATGCTAAGCACAGACACTGTGATGCGTACATTATGAAGAAATGGGCTTTTCTCTTGAATTAAGCGAAAGAAGCCAGTGTTGGACAAAAAAAGTTGGCGATCTCGCTATATTTTTGCTAAAAAATATATAAGTTGGGAAGTTGAGAACTGGCGCCGTATAATTTGGTCTGATGAGTCCAAATTTAAGATATATGGATCTGACAGACATCAGTTTTGTTGGAAACGACCAAATGAACTATTTAATGAACGAAATATAATCCCTACAAAGAAGTATGGAGGTGGTAGTGTTATGGTATGGGGGTGCTTCACTTCCTCTGAAGTTGGTAACATTGTACAAATTTATGGGACAATAGATAGAGATTTGTATCGACAAATATTAACTGAGGACCTTTTAGGAACAATCTGATAGCATAGATTGAACAAAAACGATATTATTTTTCAGCAGGATAATGATTCAAAACATGCTGCTACTAAAACCAAGTTGTGGTTCTATCATAATAACATTGAATTACTTGAGTGGCTATTTTATTCACCAGATCTAAACCCTATTGAGCATATGTAGAATGAGATTGATCAGTGAATAAAACGGTTATCTGTAGGAATTGCTAATTCAGATGAACTTTAGGAAGTAATTCAAAAGGTTTGGGTCGAGATGGATATGGGGTACATTAACAAGCTTATTGAAAGTATGCCTCAATGTATAAATGATGTTTATAAAGCAAGGAGGGGTTATACAGAATGGTAGGCTGTAGTTTAAAAAAAAAAATAGATCTAGATTGTTTTTTTTTTTTTTTGTAAATTGTCAAAAATTTACATTTTAAATAAATATGCAAAAGAAATACATCGCTAAAAATAGAATAAAATTTTATTTTTTTGAGTTTTTAATTATTAACTGAATAAAAAAAGATAATTTTATATTATCCCAGATTTAATGAACCAAATAAATAAAAATTGTAATTATTTGTTATTTACTAACGAAATTATTTAATCGCAAAATTCACTTTTCAAGGTGATGCAAAACATATAATCACCACTATATAATTCAGCTAGCTCACGATCAATATAATTCAGCTCAGCACTATGGAACAATTTTGTGTTTAAAACAGTACTGTTTTTTGGAGGGTTGTATAAGGGAAGTGATATTTATCATCTAATTTCTATTTATTAGTAAGGCTATTCAATACAAGTCACTCTTGTATAGTGAACCTTCGATATAGTGAAGATTTTTTTTTTTTTTAGAAAAAACTAAAACTATTAATGTTAATGTTTCACTCGATATAAGATATAGTGAAAATTTTTTAAAAAAATTAGTGTTCCAATCCTATCTCTGACAGACCCTATCAAATCTGAATTGAATCCATGTCAGATTATATATAAAGTATAGATACAGATATTTGAAGACGTATGGTTATGTCTAATTAACATGTCATCAAACTTAAGCTTTTTTTTTAATTATTTCTTTTTCTTCAAATATAATTTTAGCTTTTATTTTACTATATTCTTTTCTAATAATTTAAATAATTTTAATTCTACCTATATATATTACTACTTTAAATACCTGTGTTTTTATTATATATTATAGAATATTCTATACAGTTATAGCTTTCTTATATTTATTAACTTTTTGTATTAATTCATATATCTTCTTGTTTAGTAGAATCTTTATTATATTTTTTTTTCTTTTTATTCTTTTTTTTGCTAATATTTTTTTCTTCTTTATTGATTTTGTAGCTTCATATTTTTTTTTTTTTTTTTTTAGAAGCATGTTATTAATTATCTAATCTTTTTTTTATCAGAGTTTTACTCCTCTCTCTTCTGATTTAATATATAAGGTTTTTGCTTTAAAAATCAAATTTAGATCATATGATTTACTATGTCTTATAAGATTATTTTCAAGGCAAAGATCTTATATAACTGATCAGATTCTCTATATATAAATTCAATTTTTTTAACTTTTTTTTTTCTAGAAAATCATCTAATTTTAATAGCTCTTTTACTTATTTCTAAAACAAAATTTCTTTGTATAGTACAGGATAGTTAAAGACATTCAACATTTATTAATAAAAACTTTAAAGTGTTATAACTTTTTTAAAACAAGCTAAATCAAAAAACCTTTTAGCAAATTAATAGATTTTTAGATAAACTACATTTCTGTTAGAGGATTTTTTTTTATTCTTTGTTTTAAAAATGTTATAAAGGTTTAAAGTTTATATGAGTTCAAAAAATTGGTGTTTAATTTAAAAAAAAAGAAAATATATCACTAGTTGAAAATGTGAAAATTGACTATGCTGAATATTAATAAAATTCAGCTTATATTTATCTTAAAATCAGTTTCTGAATTTAAACATCGATACCCAAAAATAAATATCAACCCAAAATCAGCAACTAAAATAAAAAATTGACTAACAAATAAAATTCAATTAGGTCAAATTATAAAAATATTTGGCATAAAATCAGTTCGAATTAAAAAAAATTGTCTTCTAAAATAAAAATCAATATAAAATCAGCGTAAAAACTCAAATTAGCAATTATCTACAATTGACTACTAGATAAAATTTGAAATAAAATCAATTTAAAAATTAAAAAATTGCTTTCTAAATAAAAAATCAACTGAAAAAACTCAAATTGACAATTATCTACAATCAACTGCTAAATAAAATTTGGAATAAAATTAACTTAAAAATTAAAAAATTACCCTTTAAATAAAAAATTAACTAAAAAAAACTCAAATTGACAATTATCTATAATCGAATACCAAATAAAATTTAGAATAAAATTAACTTGAAAATTAAAAAATTATTTTCTAAAAAAAAATTGACTGAAAAAAACTCAAATCAGCAATTATCTACAATTGACTTCCAAATAAAATTCGAAATAAAATCAACTTAAAAATTAAAAAATCACTTTCTAAATAAAAAATCAACTGAAAAAAACTCAAAATGACAATTATCTACAATTGACTACCAAATAAAATTTGGAATAAAATCAACTTGAAAATTAAAAGATCACCTTTTAAATAAAAAATCAACTGAAAAAAACTCAAATTAGCAATTATCTACTTCAATATAAAATAAAAAAATCAAGTAATTATAAAATAAAATCAGCTTAAAAATAAGCAATCGACAATTATAATTAAAATCAGCAAGTCTAAAAATCAAACAACCTAATGAAGTTTTAATAATAAACTCTCGATATAAGATAAAGTGATGAATTTTTTTAAAAATATAATATAATTATAATAAATTTATTCTTAATATAATAAAAATATTCAGTAAAGATTTTACAAAATTTTATTATACTACACTAATTACATGTGAATTTTTCTATTAATTAGTATAGTAACAAGATATTTTTTTATATTTTTCTTATGTACTAGTTTATAAGATTTAGCTACAAATCAGTTCAAAATTTGATGAATCAGTATTATACAATCTCGACTAATTGCAACAAATTTTTTGTTCTATAGTTCTATATTACATAATCATTTCTTTTCATTAATTCTCAAAAAGAATCTTGTATAGCTATTTGAGACTAGTTTGTACTAATGTACAAATGCCAAATTATGTTTAATTTAGTTGTTATTAATTTCTATAATATGCCAAATAAAATATTAGATCTGGTCTGTATATATATCTTAAAAAGCACTACTTTAATTAATAAAATTAGCTGTTATAAAGAAGTTTCTCATATAACAAACTAATATAGTAGAACTAAATACTTTTGAACTGATTTGAAGATGATCAAATTTATTTCCAAATAGTCTAATTATAATAGAATTTTCATTTTTAGGTTGATCAAATAGAATATAAAAAGATTTTTTGGAATAAATATTCGAATAATAATCTAACAAAATATTCAGTAGATTATCTGATATTATTTAATTTAAATTTGACAGATTTAAAAATTCATCAAGGAAATTTTCTGCGCTACTGGCTGAGTTCATTTCTATTTTTTGAGATATTTAAAAAAATTGACATTATGCATCTATTTCAAACTTATTAGAAGATACTAAGCTTCCAACTGTCTTTCATTCTGAAAGCAGCTTAAAATACTTTTTTGTATTAGTTCAGTTAATTAAATTATTGACTATAGTATCTTGCATAAGCCAATAAATTAATTCTAGTTCAATTTAGTGATGACTATTTGGCAACGAACCAAGATAACATTTATATACTCAAAAGAAAAATACTAGAAAGAATAAAGCAGTCTATAATCAAGGCAACATTAACTAATATAGAGTGCTAAATGGAGAGTTGGTATAATATATTCTTTTCTATATTCTTCTTCAATCTGTTTATTAAGAAGAATAAGTCAATTATAAGCTTTATCTAATATATTTATGTCAATTATTCAGCAGATTAATATTGTACAAATTCAAACAAAATTTGTTAAAATTTACTGATCAGATGCTAAAAGGTGATCTCACAAGCAAGGTGTTGCATAAATCAAAATAAATGTTTTCTATTTATCTGCAATAAAGTTGGTGAATTCCTCTCCACAATTTACCTTTCTAGGAATTCAACCAATATCTGATAAAACTTGAATTTTAGATATTTTATTTTGAATTTGCTTTAGTTGTTGAGTATCTAATCTATTATTATCAACTCACAACTGCTTTACAATTCACTTTGCAATATCTAAAAATAGGCAATACTTCAGATCAACTAATAAAAACTGAATAGGGTCAAAATACAGTAAGTGTAATAATTCAGACCACTGAACTCAAGTGAGTTTCATATGCTGTTTTCTACCTAACTTCATATAGTATTTCCTCCACCTGCAATTTAAATTTGTAAAGGATATAATATAGAGTTTAGTTAAATATTATTACTAGTAAAAGTACTAAAAATTAATACAGTTATACTATGTTTAGTTAACTAATTACTGAAGGTGCTGAATATATGCTAGTTATTATATCTTTAGTATCTTTAGTAATTAGTCAACAAATATAGTATAACTTCTTAAAAAATACTTACTTTTCAGCATCCTGTTTATGCTAGCTTAAATTCTGCTCAATAAACTATAAATCGATATCATTAATACCACAGAAGTAGTGATATCTATTTTTATACTAAGATTTTTTTTTGTAACAATGACATGTCACTAATGCTAAAGTATAGCTACAAAGTTTTGGAACTGCAAGTAAATCATATGAGCATAATATTAATGCTACTCAAATTATTTTTCTGAATAAATTCTTATAGGTTAGAATATGTATACTATCTCAAAATTTACATAGCTCATCAATAATTAGTATAATATAGTAGTTAATATAATACAAGTGAATCTCATTTGGTCCTAGTAATATACTAAGAATTATAACATTTTCAACCTTAAAATGGAATTCTCTTGGCAAATTGCAAATAGTTAAGTAAATTATACTAATACTATATTGGGTTTTATCAAAAACTAGAACCAATCTAAATTTAGTATTAGGCCTAAATGAAATTTTTTTTTTTTTTTTTACTATTTAAAGAGGGAGTTCTATGTCCTGGTATTTATTTATTTAAGACTTACAACCTATACTTAGATAGAGGAGTACTATATTTTGCATATCAATAAGGTCACAATTAGCTACACGTACAATTTTAGTTATTATCTATTTAAGGTTTCACTCAAAGGTTATATACTAACTACTATACTTAAGATCTGCTTATGGATCATCTAATTAAACCCTCTGATTTTCAATACTTTTTCTGTAATACCAACTTAAATATATAGTATATACAGAACTATAGACTACTT